TATTGTTACACAATTTATTAACATACTCTTTTTTAGGTTCATTTAGGTTCTTTTGATAACGATAGCAGAAAATAGCTATCGAAACGTCAAGGTAAATTTTCAAATTAATTTCTCTACTAATTGGAATTTTCTTTTACAGCTCGAGCCTAAGTGTGTCGCAGGATACCCTCTAGGTGATGGTTCTTGATTACTTTTTGATAAATAATTCGTTCTTATTGAGAAATAGGGGCACTATTTATCAATCTGTAATAAAAGACGTGAGGAAATTCTGTCTTTTTTAAGGACAAAAATTTTTGAGGCGAAATACCCAAAAAGAAGTTTGTAAAAAAATGAATCCGCCTCAACAATATAGAACTTATCTTTTGTATTAGTTTCGATAAACCGAGCGGCAATTGTTGCTCAGTATTTCTATAGCAAATATTTCCCTATAGAAACGCAGCGAAATCAGTGAATATTCAAAGTTCACAGACAATGGCACAAAGTTGTCACTTTTCTTCATTCCGTTATTTCTTTCACTACTTTCCACTGCTAGACGGTGATTCACTTCGTGGTCTCGTGATATTCGCAAAATCGTACAACGCACAAGACAATGATTGATCTCGATTCAAAACCCTCAAATACTTAACGCAATGGTTACAAGTGGCTGTTGAGATAAATATCGTCATTCAAATCGACCGCTATTATTTACCGCTTTATGAGCTGTTATTCATATGGCTGCAGGTATATTTGATCATCTGTGAAGAGGCTTCAACAGTGGATCAATGTTGCCCTACTTACATCCCTGGAAAATTGAAAAATTTTGCAAATTGTTTCAGTTTTGGTTATTTGGTTTCTTCTTTAGCCTATCAAGTAAAGCGCTGTGTTCAGTATGAGTCAATTCTTCTAAAGTCACACTTTCTAAAAAGCAAGACTTCCTGTCCCAATTTCTGGAGGTTTTAACATTTTGAGATCACTTTGGAACCACATGCCAGATTGTTTCATCAATCACCTCGCTGGAATGTCCAACCGGGGACATTCCAGATACGTCCCAGATCCGGGCATTTTTCCCATATTCCCATTCTGACCTTTACCAAATACTTGCACGGTTTTCGCTTGCAATTCATCATCATCTTCACATTCTTTTTGACATTCTTCTAGCAGTCGTTCTAATGCAGTGGAACAGCACTGTCACACATGCGTGCAGAGAAAACCCGATCCATTGAGTTAATTGGAGCGAGTGAGCGACTCATTAATATTTCATCTCAATGATTTAGAGGATGGCATCGTCGTCGAACTTGAATTACCGACTCCCCAATTAGGGCCAGGATATGACTATTTGGGATCGGTGTGAAATTTGTTGCGTTTTTAATTGGTGTGGCAAATCTTTTCATCTTTGCCACCGAAAAGGAGACTAACTGACTTTGCTGGCAGCATTACGAGCCAACACCTCTATAGTCAACATTGAAATCCATGCGCCAATTAGACGAACAGGAAGGAAAGTGCTTGACAAGTTGCTTTATTGTTGCGCCTCTCAACCAGTAAAATTCATATTAATACTGGCAAAAAAATTTCAAATTGCTCCATTAAGGCGTTGAAGAAGTGCAAAAATTGGGCCTGCATGCTAAACTAATTCGATTGCTGGTTAGTGTTTCGCATTTTAGATGCTCGTGAAAAATAATTTCTTGTTAACGTTTAGCTAACATAAGGGAGACAGTATCGGAAGACGCCAAAGAAATAAGAAGCAAATACTTAACAAGATTTTCGAGAAACTCAGTGAAAGCCAGTGGAGAAATAAATCGAGTGAAGAATTCGTACTGAAACACCACAACTGGTTAGAGTTGTAGAAAAAAGGAAGCCAAATTTGAAATGGAAAATCAAAACAATCAGAGAAAAATACGATGAACATAAATCTGTGACGAGATTGTATTCATTAAAGCTGCCCACAAAAGAATAAATATACTGATGAGCAAAATTAACACAGGCAACGAACGAAAGAAAACGCAGCAAAAAAGCTTTAATAAGTTTCGGAATGACAATGACAATGTGAAGACAATTAACGCAAACCAAGAAAAACTCGATGAAAAAGCAAAATGGACAAGAAGAGAGATGAACCGAATGATGGCAACTTTAAATGCTAAAAGTTTAACGCGGTAAAAATAGGAATTCGGTCAACAATAAGAGAAGTAGAGCCTGAACGGAAAATTGTGAAAACGTGAAACAAACTGATCGGACCGGAAAACTAACGAAAGAAGAATAGTGGAAATTCACGAAAAAAACTTAATCGTTTGTAGCAGCGTAAGACATCGTAAGTACAGATCGAAACAGCGGCTACTTAGGTAGGATGTATGCTACATAAAAAATTAAAAAATTGCAAAAATTATTAAGCCGCCTATTTTTAACTATTTGAACAAATTGTAGTTTACTCTCGAAGAAGATAAAGGAAATTCTATAAACTTTCTAGACCTAACAGTTAATTATGATAACAACGGCGAAATCAAAACAAATTGGTACACAAAGGAGGTATGGTCTGGTAGGTACCTGAATTATCAATCGTACGCTCCAATGAAAGATAAAAGAAGTGTAATAACGGCACTTACAGATCGAGCCATCAAATTGTCACATTGGGAGTATAGAACAAAAAATCTTGAAAAAATGATAAATATATTATTAATAAACAACTATCCAAGGTCATTTTTTGAACCAATCATAAAGCAAAGGATAAATAAAATATACAATTCAACTAAATGGAAAAACATAAATATAAGAAGAGAAGGTGATATCAAGTATATGTCATTACCATATATTCCGGAAATTAACACAAAAATAAAAAATA